TCATCTGGAAGGAAATTCGGCAAGATCGTTTCAAAATGTTTTTGACAAGTCCTCAAGGGTCTTAAGTCTTGTATTTCCAAGAAATTGAATTTTTCATGACCATCGCCATATTTTAGGGTACCATACCACCTTAAGTATAAAGTACCGATACACTTGGCACGGATTCAGCTACCGAAAGCGGCATCTAAATCAGATGATATTTTATGGGTACATTTCATGACAGAACCAACCTTGAAATCTTCGCTCTTGATATCGACCCAGATCTCTCCCGTCCCTTGTGGCAACGTCGACACATTTACCCCTTTAAGAGGATACGTCACGTGACCAATGACCTGTTGGCGGGAAAATCGGTCGAATTCGCACACAGTGAATTCCAGTGTTCTGTTAGGTAAGTCGTCGGGTGGAACCATGAATATAAAATCTTCAAAGAACTGAGGATTTGAAGTTCTACGCAGCACTCGGGACTGAACTTTGCGTCTCTTGTCCGGTAGAAGAAATATTTTTACGTACGGCGTCACGGTGACATTTTCACCAATTGGGCTTAGGCGCGTGGCTCGAATGAGGCACACCATTAGTTCTTCATTGAATTTGTCGTAACGTAATGAAAAGCAGAGTCTAGCTGAGCCTGTGAAGGGTGACCCTGCTTCCTTCTCCTCTTCTCTAAAAAGAAAAAAAAAACAATGCATGATTTTGACATGTTTTATGCATCTTATTTTAGCGATTTTCATTATATTCTGACAAGCTTCTCTTGCTGAAATTGTGTTAAAATTCTTTGCCAGTCAAATATTTCAACTTCTCCTCAGCACACTGGAATTAAACGGCTAAACATTCATAAAGCCACGTGCATAACGCCTTCTGAGAGAAACAAGAGTGAGCAAGGGTGAGTCTTAATATTTGGATGCTAACTCTAACCTAACCTAATCCTCTGCTTGACCTAAATTAACCCTAAAATACTAATCTAAGCCTACAACACTGAAACGTTTGCTAACCCTAAATTCTAAATCCCCACCCCACACCCATTAATAGGCGATTTGCATCATGGCGTCATTTGAATACAACTACCAGAATTCTTCACTTTTTCTGTTTCTTATACTAATTAGGGCAATTGCTATTTTAACCCAACTGGGAATTCAAAATTTACATGATAAAGAAAAAACGAAAGGAATTCTGGTAGTTGTAGTCAAATGACGACAAAGTGCAAATCTGCTATTGGTCTTTGTGTATTGTGAAGCCAGTCTCGACACCAGAGTCTTCGATCCTACTAGTCAGCGGGGCTCCCCCTTGCTGCCGCTGATCAGTATTACCGAAGATTCTGTATTCATAATACCTATAGATCTCAGGATTCAGATATTCCTCCAGTCCTTCTTGCTCTTGCTGTGGATATCTCGTCTGCGTGGCAATCGCGAATGCCTCCAGTTTTGGTGGCGGGAGTTTGAATGACACCCGAGGCACCGTTCTTTCTGGCTTTTTTTCCCGTTTACACCTGCCACGCGCGTGATACACGAGGAGAAGAACAACCACGCCAAAGAGTATTCCGCCAACTACAGCCACGAGAATAAACACTGCAAAAAAAGAGAACTGTCATTTGATGTTTTAAATTTCTACAATCTTGGCCAGAATTCTTTGAAACAAGATTTATCCCACACAGTGTTTTCAGAAAGCTTAAAGACCAAAGTATATGAAAACATATTTTTCGACCCAAGAACTGTATTGTAACCTGACACCATAGTTAATAGAGGGGACTGACTATTACGCCCGCCAAACATCAACGGAGCAAACAAAGATGTCAAGATTTATGTCGGAAGGTCCACGACCGTACACAATCTTTTGTTTTGCACTCATACACTATGCATGAATTACATAACCAAAACGTTTCTATTGGTTAGTTCCTCAGTGCGGAGTAAACAACTATTGTGTTTTGTGCACGCTCAAGGCCAAAAAACCGAACAAAAGCATACAACAAAGAACTTTGATGGGTTTCACAACAATTCCCCTCTATTAACTATGCTGACACCGGCTGATTAAATCTGCCAGCTGCTGTGGAATGCCAGGGCTTACTTGAGAAAAGATAACTCCTACAAGAACTGATCAAAATGAATATTTTTTTTATAGCTTACTGTTTTAAGCAGAGAGATTTTTGAAAAGTTTAAAACACATGAAATGGTGACCAGTTAAATCTGATACAGAAAATCCAGCAAACGTTTCAATGCATAACTTCGAGAAAATGCACTGGATGGAAAAGTTCTGTGCATAAAACACAAAACTTAATCAGAACAACAAATCACGAAAATTTCAGCCCAATTGGACAAATCCTTCTCAAAACATCTTTTCTCAAAGGCAAAAAGAACTTGTTTTGAGAAAACCAGGTTTGAACTTACAGTAACAGAAATTCTCAAAATAAAACTTCAATACCGTAAGATTCAAATTCCGAAAAAAACAAAACTTCGAATTTTTTAACAGAATTTTAGGTTAACCCCCTCCTTAACATCGAGGAGGTCTGGAATCCAGTATGTTACCATGGTAACAAAATTGTTAAGCTCATATTATGGACCGCATCTAATAGAATTTTAACTCAAATAATCAAACCATTCTGATTCAAATCGTCTGAGATATTTTTTTTTGACCATATTTGATCAAACTTTGGACGAGTTTATGACGTCATCAAAGGCTATTATTTTAAAAACTTGAATATCTCTGCAACAAAAAAAAGGTAACTGAAAATAGTAAAGAGCAGTTTTCTTCTCGTACAACTTCCCTGTTCATGTTGTAAAATGGCTTAGATAGGCAGAAACGAATTTCGTCATAGTTGCAATTTAAAAGTTTTTCCAATGAATTTACAAGTGGAAGGCTAAACGTATGTAAAATTCAGACTATGAACTTTTTTCCTCTGTCTCGCTAAGTTCGCAGCGAGTGTCTGATGCGTGGAAAGCCCGGGGGGTGAAAGTCCACTATCGGCTGGTGTACAGTCAGAACTACAATGAATATAGCACTAAGCTGGCTCTCTCAATACAAGAAAAAGTTTCTTTACAGAGAACTTCCATATTGTAGCACAATTGTTACAGCACTGTAATACATGAGCACTCGAACAGGCTGATTAGCTTGAAAACGTGACCTATAATACATTTCATTCCATATTATTACTCATTTGCATTTTCACCAGCGTTAACTGTTCTCATTTCCTAATCGTTTCCTGTCGATTGTTAAACATTTCAGGCTTTCCTGTGATCTAGGGTGGTCTTTGAGCCTTTTTTAAATTTGGGCTAAAAGTAAATGACCTTGGACATTTAAACTATCACTCCAGTCGTTGTTTCGAAAGCGATTCAAATTTAGTGCGTCCGCAACAAAATCCTTATTTCGTACGAAAACACAAAATAACCCGGTTGCTGAAATTACGCAGGAGAAAAGTTATTAATATTTCACAGTATTAGATTTGTACCCCATTCCAGATGCTCCGTGCTCTTTTTAGAATCTCTTAATGTGGCTGTGAAACTGGCTGTTGTTGTGACGTTATTGAATCTCATACCCTTGTATCTGAAAAGAACAGAAAGAAATACAATAAATAAAATCCCGATGATGGTCTGTTCAAGTTTAATGTGATTAGAATCCTTCCCGAGTACGCATGAAAACGAATCGATTTGTGCTAATTCATGCATGTTATTATGCATTGAATCGTTCCTAAAGGGTTTGTGGTCGGTTAGGAAAAGAACACTTTAACCTGGGACTTATTTGTTCAGTGTTCGAGAAGGAGAAGTAAACTGGATGTTTTCAGTCCCCTAAATTACTAGGAAATTTCGATAAGGTCTACTAAAAAGCGAAGCAAAGAGCGAGAGAGGAATTCTGTGATATCTGCTTCTAACTTACCGCGTGGAAATTCTTCAGCCTTATCTAGGATCAAAAATCGTCCAGAAATCGTCTTTGCTGATCATCCGTCCCATTCTAACGCACTGTGCATCGTTTCTTTAACAAATGCCATCGTAACAAAAGTCACCACGCGAGAGAAAAGTTTTCTAAACTACAATTAAAATTGATTTAGTCGCCTTCGTAAAATTTCCATTCCAACCTCCTCGCCACTTGAAATCAACTGAGGCCTATTTCCGAATTACCTAAAGAATGTGCGTCACCGATGTTTTTGCGCCAGAACTAATATAGCTTCAGCGGTCCTATATCTTTTAGTTTAAGCAGAGTAAAATGAACCGTGTATTTTAGGATTCATAATGTTCAAAGCGATAGTATGCTTCGATGGTGTGTGGTTTTTGGGCGCGCGCGGTGGAGGTTTGAAAAGACCGGCTTCTTCCTCTGTTCTTCCGTCTATAAGGAAGTTATTGCTTGTGCGAAAAATTCAAGTTATGCGATCGGGTTTTCAGTTCAAATAACGTTTGAGATTTCGTTTTGAACCCCAAATATTGTTTACAATGGGTCTTAATCGTCAAATTGGGCTGAAATAACTACAGGGAAAACTCTTTTAGGGATGATCACTAAATGCCTGTAATTCAGTCATTTTTTTTTTTATTCAGCTAAGATTAAAACGAAACAAAAGTGACGAGTTTTGCCCCCATTTGCGTTCTCCCGCCCACCAGCAAAATTGCGAAATGTATAAGATTATTTCACGAGGAAATGACCTGTGCAACTATAACAGCATCTTTTTTTCTCTTTCTCTCTCTTTTTTTTCGCGGAATGTTGTGGTAATGTATATTTATTCGCTTTTGGTCACGCGAGCATGGAGAACACGTCACTTTTTGAAGTCGAGTGTATTTTCTCTCCTTGATTCACAACATTAATTACGTCTGTGCCGTGGTTTTAGCTCTCTTAAACTAATTATAGGTTGAACGTAATTCTTAGAAGCCAATTAAAAAGCCCCTTATTAAAAAGAACTCTTTAAACGTTTCAGTGAATAAGTAATTAACGTTCCTTAACAGCAGTATAAAAGTTTAAATGTGTCTGAAAAGCTTAATTGTCATGCGAACTTGGTAGAAATAAAGCAAGAGCTTTGAGGTTGTTTTTGTAAATGCTAAATCCTTTTTACTTGGATATTGTCTAGCACTTCAGGTACATGGAATGAACCACTGAAGTCCGCGTGTCTCTAATAATTCTAATTCTGTTTCCGTAATTAATTATTGAAAAAATTATGCCTCAACTCGCCAGAATTTTTTCACAAATTGCTGCCGTTTAGCCATATGGTGATTATCGCGCCTAGAAGTCGCGTATAAAATAAAACCGTGGAGGTGAATATTAAATCACCATGCATTATAAATGTTGGTTCTCAGAATTTGTTTCAGTGGAATATTTCCGCTTAAGTGATATTAGAGATTCGTAGCAAAAAGGGACTTTTATATATTGATAATGATCTTGTTTGATGAATAAGTACTAGCACACGAAGGGGTGCTCCAAGGAAGCAAACATTTCAAGTTCTTCGACTTTTGATTTCTGATTTGAGTTGTAGAGAAATTGTTACCATTTTTTCCTTTCTGTTTTGTTTTCTAACTTGTAGCGACAAATGAGGTTCACAGATAAGGAACCATATTGATTCTAAACTTTGTTCTTGTCCGTGTGGATTTCCTAGGGAACATTGTACAGGATGTAATGGTTTTTCCAACGCTTAAACATTTAATTTATTACCTGATTAGAGCTGTGACGACGATCAAGAAGAATCTAACTTACAACTCAAAATTGAATATGGTTTGAAACGTCCCTGTTCCAGACACTTTGACGCAACGCCTAGACTTGCCACATGTTGACCTTTCATTCAGAAAGTCTCAGCAATGCCGTGTGTTAATAACCCCCATCTCTTTTTTCCCAGAATATTGTGAGGTTGAATTTTTAAATTAGGAACTTCATTTATAAGCCATTATTTGTTAGCTTTCATCACGAAAGAATCATGTGAGGTCTCCCGGCTCCGACAGATTGTCATTCCATGCTCTCTTAACAAACTCGTCATGATTCTCTAATAGAGCACTCGTCCCACCTTCAAAAACTTACACGTCATCCTAACAGATTTGAACGTCAAATTACATCGAAAAATGTATAAAAAAAAA